TTCCACAATAGTAATCTGTCAATGTACTAACTTTCCTGGTTTGTCCTTTAGGGATAAAACAAGCAAACAAAACCCCCATAGTTAACAGAAAAGGAGTAATTAGCAAGCCCAAGACAATTTGGCAAAGAGGCCCTGGAAAAACATTTCTGAAACCAAGATCCCAAATATAGAAACTGGGCTAAAGGCTGTCTTGTGGCCTGACCTATGTGGCTCAGTGGTTGAGCGTCAACCCATGCACCAAGAGGTTGTGGGCCCAATCCCCAGTGAGGCCATGCAGGAGGAGGTCAGTTGAGGTCCTCTTTCATTGATGTTTCTATTTGTCTCTCCCTCTGTCTTCCTCTCTTTCTAAAATCAATAAAGAAGCCCTGGCCAGTTTGGCTCAGCTGTTGAGCGTCGGCCTGCGGACCAGGGAGTCCTAGGTTTGGTTGCTGATAGGGGCACATACCACAATAAATAAATAAATAAATAAATAAATAAATAAATAAATAAAATCAGTAAGAAAAAAAAGTTAAAGGCTATCTTATAAAGGTCAACTATGGAACCTTGACAATGAACCAGCAGCAGCTTCCTCACAGTTCTCTCTCAACCAGATATTTATCCCCATAACAAAATACACCTATGCCCAGAACATAGGGACCTACAAATACCCAGGGTTGAGATACATACCCAGAGAGTGATTATAAAAGAAAACAAAAGAAAGTAGAGGGTGGAGAAGAGAGAATGATGTTTCTACCAATTAATTTCAATATATTGTCCTTTTTCAAGCATTTCTTGGGTTTTAAAATGTGCAAACCATATTTTATGCTTACTTAAGAATTATTGTACAACCAATTTACTTCCTGGCATATTAAAAAATAAAAATTGATTTTTTTCCATTAAAAAATACTTTTTCTGTCTTTAAAAGTGTTTAGACTAAAACCACAAATTATTTCATTGCCCTTTAAATTGTTTGCTCTCATTCATTCACCATTAATTTTCTGCTCTATTTTATTCCATACTCTTATGGTTGTAGCTTGAGAAACTCCAAGTGTTATCAAACAAGGTCTTGCTTCCCAACATACATTGAAGCCAATCCTATCGTTATCAGTGGAAGTGGAGTTTTTGGGATGCTGCAAGAAAAAGAATTTCCTGAGGCCCCCACAGGAAGATAGGGCCTCATGGAAAGCATTATTGATGACGTAAAATTAAGGGGGTTCCCCACCAAGGTCCCATCTATGTCTTATCTTCAGCAGGGCCAGAATAAAGGCCACTGCCCATAGTTTCTGCTGCATATTACAGTCCAGTCCAGTCCAGCATCAGTCTAGCTTAGCTTGTGCTCCCAGCTGCGGTCCATTCCACGTGGAGTCCACATGACCATGTGCTATGTCACTCCCTAAGACCATATGGCTGTGGAGAGAACAGGTGAGCGCGTGGGGGAGTGCGGGGCATGGAGCAAGAGTAGAGTGAACAAGAAGAGAGGGAACTCTTTTCTGGGGTTTTAACTGGGAGCTTCTTCAAACCAACCAATTAACTTTTTAAGATTTTGTGTGCTTTTGTTAGGGTCCACCCCCTAGACAATCCATTGTTCCCCAGGTTAGACTGATAGGCAAAGACCTCCCCTGTGCTACCCAGATTCCTATTGGTGTGTGTCTATCTCTCCCCCCAACTATTTAGTACTGGATGGAAGTAAAAAGTGTTAATCCTCTTGGAGGAACAGTGCTGTGTGAAGCTGTAGATTCCTGGTGAAGCTTACCAGGTGGCTATGCTTACAATATCTGACTTCCTTTCCTTTATTAACTAGCTAATTACGATGATAACGCTATGGCACAGGTTTCTGAGAAAAGAAAAGGCTTTATTGTGAGGTTGACCAGCAAGGAGACAGGAGGGAAGGCTCAAATCTGTCTCCTGGATCCAGGATAAGGGGTTAGGGAGAACAGGCTAATATGTTGAAGTGTTGGCGTGGCAGGTTTCAATAGGAGTGTTTTGGAATTGGACCATTATGGTAAGAAAAGGTAAGGGGCTTCAGCACTGGATCTTTCTAGACACCAAGCCCATTTGCTTCTGAAAGGGTTCCAGTGCTCCAACTTCTGGTCCTGCTCTGGTCTTTTGGTTCCATGCTGGATGTGGCGGGTTTGAGAGGGCAACTTTGGTTCCAGGTGCAAGTGGAGGTCAAACTTCTCTCTAATGTACATGCTTCAGTTTTGGCATGACTTGTAAATCATGGTCTGTCCTCTGAAAAGCAATCCAGTATCTTGTTAGAAAGAGAACAGAACCAGTTTGAGCTGGTTCTGTGATTTTATAAGAATCATTCATTGGAGAGCACTTTGGTTCTCTAAAGGCTTTTGAATCATCCTAAAGCTGAGGCATAATTTGAACTGAGTTGGCAGCACATGAAACAGAAAATGGAGGTGTTTTGATTCCCATTTCAAAGCCCCTTTCCTGAGACACATTCCCATTTTATTACACAGAATGCAAAATAAGGTGTTCTCTAATACACTTCACAAGTTTTTTACAAGGTTGGTTATTCTGGAGGGTATTTTCTTCTCCAAAGGAATTCCATACCCTACAAATTTAAACTAACTCTTTATCTTAAAGCAGTGGTTCTCAACCTGTGGGTTGCGACCCCTTTGGGGGTTGAATGACCCTTTCACTGAAGTTGCCTAAGACATAACAGTAGCAAAATTACAGTTATGAAGTAGCAACAAAAATAATTTTATGTTTGGGGGGTCACCACAACATGAGGAACTGTATTAAACAGTCACGGCATTAGGAAGGTTGAGGATCTTAAAGGGATCAGCATCCTCATAAATGGTGTTGGAAGGAACACAGAACACAAAGCAGTTTGGGAATCTTGGCTTTTTTGTCAGACTAAGTATTGTTCAAAACCAAATTACAATGGAATACATTTGAATATATAATTCGCTTTATTAAGTGATTCATAAATTGGACAACATGCCACCTAGCCACCAGAAGAGTTCAAAGGAGTAGTACAAAATGGAAGGTATTTATAAGACTAAGAGCGGAGCAAGGGACTATTAACAAAACAAAACCAAAAAAGGATTATTTTGACTCAGACATCTTTTCTTTGTGGGAAGGTAACAGGAAGTGTTTTTATCTGGCAGATTACTTCTTCTTTCTATAGGGGATGGAGAGGGCCCAAGTGACAGATTACTTTCCTGGTGCTTGACCAGAAAACTCCAGACTGGTTGATTAAGATTATTTTTCTGGAAGAGCTTAAAACTGCAATTAGATCATATATTAAATGTAGGTTTGGCATTGTGGGCTTTTTGCATGAGTGATGACATTTTCGGTCTGTGGTTCTCTCCTTAACAGTATCTTCAAAAATTCCTTGGAGAGTAAAATAAACTGGCTCTATTTATGATTTTCATGCATCAAGTATGGCTCTGACACATTGTTCTAACTCAGTTATTAAAGACAAGCTGCTAAAGAGAAAACCACAGGCCCCAAATGGCCTCATTCGTGCTAAAGTTTATGATACGAACCTAGATTTAATACTCGACCCATTGCTCTTTAGATCTCTGCCAGAAATATAATCTTAATGAATCAGTCTGAAATTTTCTGATAAACACCAGTGAGGTAATTCAGTGTGCCACAAGAGTTTTAAACCTGCAATACCTCACTATTTAGTCAGGGGCAGGGATCTCTTTTCCCTTAGATTATCAAATTAAAAAAATGACAACAGCCAGCACAACATTAGTTATCTGGTGTGAAACAATCAAAATTATACTTTTATTTTTTGTCAGATAGGCAAAAAATATATCTTTTGGTGTACTGCAGAATTTTAGTAATTAGTTTGTGTGTGCCACAAGAAGAAAAAGGTTAGAAATAAAAAAAATTAGTCATGTGGGCTCTCTCTACCCCTCTCTTCCATAGATTGAAGAGGCAGTTTGCATGATAAAAATCTTGCATTCTCCCCCCAGAAGTCTTGTTCTAAAAATAATTTATCTTTTCTTCTGTTACTAGTTCCCTTGTCCCACCCTTCTTTTTCTTTTTTTTCTTTCTTTTTCTTTTTATTAATTAATTTATTTTTGTTACAGATGATTCTCCTTTTTCTCCCAGACACCCTCCTCCCCATCCGTCCCTTCAACCCCCAAGCATTGTTATCTGTGTCTATTGGTTATGCATACATGCATAGAAATTCTTTGGTTTATTTCACCCCCTCTCCCCTGACCTCCTCCTCTGAGGTTTGTCAGTCTGAACCTACTCCTTTCTATGTCTCTGGGTCTACTTTGTTCATCAGCTTATTTTGTTCATTGTATTCCACAAATAAGTGAGATCATGTGGTATTTGTTTCTCTGATTGGCTTACTTCACTTAGCATAATACCCTCCAGGTCTCTTTCTATGAAAACCTTCCATCTTGTACAACCCCTCCAGAGCCCTTCTAATTGCTAATGGGATGTTGTCCAATTTATGGATCACTTAATAAAGCCAAACTGACCTTCAAGTTTACTTAGTTGAATTTTATTTTTTAAAAAACAAGACCCCAAAACCTGGTGCATTGAGGAGTGATTATGGAACATCACCATCACTTTAGCAGCACACTGAAGGCTTGTAAAAACACAAATTACTGGGCTCCAACCCCAGAGTTTCTGATTCAATTGGCCTGATGTGGAGCCTGGGAATTTTCTAACTAGAATTCCCAGGTAGTGCTGATGCTGCTAGTTCAGGGACCACACTTTAAGATCCACTGTGCGGGCCTCCTCCAAATCAGAATACTTCAAAGTTCTCTGGGTCACTTCTGCGGAGAATGGTTTCAGACCAGGTGTCATTTAGCAAAGACGGTCTGCCTGCGGCTGGCCCAAACACAATCCTTCTCAGGCCAATCACCGACACTAAGAAGCAAAAAGGCGAGTAATCATTAGACAGCTACTGAAGGTCAGGCTAACTGAGTTGCTGCAGACTCTGCCCTCCCACGTGACCGCTGGGCGTCTACACCCTCGTCCTCTTCTGCCTCCTTCTCCCCCCCCCGCCCCCCCCAGCCAGACGGTCCGAGTGGAGCCGAACGACAGCTCCAGTCTTCTAGGGCTGGGGCCGTGGCTGGCGATGGCGATGGCGCTCCCGGACGTACTCCTCTGTTGCCTGTGGGTGGTTTGGCATGGCCAGCCCGGCCTCGGACTGCCCCTGGCGCCGGCCGGATGCCGGAGTCCCGCTGCGGCGGTTGGTGAGTCGTCCGTGACCCCTTCCCTCCCGCGAGCTGCCTGGCAGCGCTGGGGCGGAAGCGGCCGCTCAAAGTCAGAACAAGTGCCCGGGACAGGCCGAGCGCCCGGGACAGACAAAGTGCCCGGGACAGGCCGAGCGCCCGGGACAGACAGAGTGCCCGGGGCAGACAGAGCGCCCGGGACAGGCCGAGCGCCCGGGACAGACAGAGCGCCCGGGACAGACAGAGCGCCCGGGAAAGACAAAGCGCCCGGGACAGACAAAGTGCCCGGGACAGACAGAGCGCCCGGGACAGACAGAGCGCCCGGGACAGGCCGAGCGCCCGGGGCAGACCGAGCGCCCAGGCTGGGACTCCGGCGACCTGGGCCTCAGATGCGCTGAGCCCGGGGAGGGCGAAGGCGACCGAGGAACCGAGCACCAAGGCCACCCTCCGGGACCCCGTTTCCGTGTAGTGGTTTACACTTTGTGTGTCTGGTGATTTGCTCCCGAGGAAGGAAGGCAAAGCTGAGTGCCTCCAGGAAAATATCTGGGAGTTGGGTGTCACCTCCTGCGGCCCTGAATCAGCTCAGAGCTGAGGGGGAGCTGCGGGTTTTTCGCCACACCACAGGGGAGTAGTTTTCAGTGGGACTCAGGGTTATCTTCTGTCCTGGCCGCCAAGTTTGGTGGCCTTTTCTTCCCACTCCCCAGCCAGAGTCTGTCGCAGCCTTGGTGCTACCCACCCCTTAGTTTACGTGGGAACTCGTGCGGACCTTCTTTTCACTTTGACTGGATGCTGGGCTCCCTCGGGGCGGGGCCAACTTAATTCGTTCTCAACACTGAACACAGTGCCTGTTCCAGTGGTTGTTCTCAAAATGTGGTCTGGGACCAGCAGCATCAACATCGCCTAAACTTGTTAGAAATGCAGGTTTTCAACCCCAACCCTGGCCTTCTGAATCCGAAACCGAACTGGGGTCCAACAATCTGTTTAACAAACTCCTGGTGATTCTGATGGACCCTACAGTTTGAGAACCACTGGTCCAGAATAGACACATGTTGCATGAGAGATTTTACAATGCCACCTGAGCCTTCAGTTTTAAAAATCAGGGTACCCACACCTTCCAGACTCACTTTAAAAATAATTGTTCTGTTATTTAGGAGGGGGAAAAATTAGATAGGCAGAGTTCTGTCCTGTGTTTTGGGCATAGCTGTCTTTGAAACTCAGCCAAGTGCAGAGTCCTGAACCCTCCTCTCTCTCTGTCACTTTTGCTCTCTCATGTGACTTCAGAAATGCTCTGTGAGATGCCTCCTCTTTGAAAGCCAAGTCTTCATGACTCAGCTCTTAGGCAGTTGAAAGCAACTGTCAGTCACATGAAATTGTTTCAAAACACTTACGTTTTCTGGTTCCTGCTTTTATCAAAGCTGGAGTTGTGCTTAATTAGCTAGCTGTTTAAGATTTGGAGATGAAAGGTCTCAGGTTGCATAAAACCAATCTATGACAAGTTTCCCTTTTGCTTTTAAGAACCTGATTGCTGAAGGCTTCAGTGACAACCTGCTGAGGTCTAGTGTGTGTTTCGGTTTGTTTTGTTTTGTTTTTGGTTAATCGTCACCTGAGATATTTTTCTGCTGATTTTTTTTTTTTTTTTAGATAGACTGGAAGGGAGGAAGGGAGGGAGAGAAACATCAATGTGAGAGAGAGACATCGATTGTTTGCCTTCTGCACAACCCTGACAAGGGTTGGGGATTGGACCTGCAACCAAGGTACATGCTCTTGACCAGGAATTGAACCCTCGGCACTTAGGTTCATGGAGAACAAGCTAATCACTGAGCCAAACCGGCCAGGGCACACCTCCGTGTTTTATAGAAAAACGACAAGGTTGAATCATTAGGGAAGAAGAAGGGAAAGGGGTAAGTTCAAAGAGCTGTTTAAGTGTTGAGTCAGCAGTTTCATACTGGATATATTGTTTTACTTTTTCACTTGATGAAACCTCCCCATCTTCAAACCAAAATGTTTGGATTTCCTTGCAACACCCACCACAACTGGCCTCTGCTCACTTGTTTTGTATGGGTGTCTGTGCATGTGCCTGTGTAAATTCCCAGTCTCAGTTTCCTGTCCAAGTCTTGGTAGGCAGAGGACAGAAACGCAGGGAAGCTTCACCAGCATGTGTTTAGCCACAATGAACCTGCTGGAGTATTTGGTAGGAACTGACATAAATAAACAAAGATATCTATTTTAAACAGCCCTATGTCCAAACATCTGAATTATGGTTTACTAGGTTCTTTAAGATAAATGAAAACATTTTAAAATAAATACCTTTTTTTGGGGGGGGAGGGGGTATAATTTTGAACATTTACCTAGCTATGTTGACAATACACACATATATATTTGTGGAAATATTTTAAAGATTATCTGCAGGACAAGAAAGTCATTGTGATGTAGTGAAAAGAACTTTGAATTGTTAACCAGAGGATCTGGATTGGAATGTGGGCTCTGCCACAGGCCAGGTCCATGGTTTTGGACCCCTCCCCCTAAAAAACACACACACACAGAATTTTGTATACAATTTTATTAGAGGTGAGAGATGACATCTCCCGAGACTCATTATTCATAAATCCCAGGTTAAGAGTCTGTCAGAGCTCATTCTTGGCTACTATTTAAAGACATCCTTCAGTGCATCTAAGTAATTACCCCTCGATTATCTATCCAATGTAGTGGAAAGAACACTGAACTGCAAGTCTAGAGAGACTGGTTGTAGTCTAGCTTTCATTGCTGAGTCACTATGTGATCTTGAGGAAATCTTGAAATCTGCCTATGACTAATTAAATAATATTTGTTAAAGTCTTAATATAGACCAGACATATTCTAGATGTTGGAGATATATAATAAGTCTAGGTACAAAATTGTGTAAGAGGGATGTGTCCTTAATATGTTTTCAGTTTTGGTTTACAAAAATGTAGTATATTTATAATCTCATGTCCCTTAAGCATTACAGTATCTCATGTAGGTGTTGTTAACATCTATTTTACATGAGGTGAGTGAGACAGAAGGCTGTTTGAAGATGAGCACAGAGAGACAGTGTGTGCAGTGGTTAAGAGCAATGTGGCTTCTGGAGTCAGATTTTCTGAATCACTATCTTGGCTGTGTTGCACATGACATATGTTACTTGGACTTGACCTCCATGTGCTGTAGTTCCTTATCTGTAAAATGGAAATACTGATGAGTTAATACATGTGCAGCATGTAAAAAAGTACTAAACTTACAATAAGTACTTGATAAAATTTTAACTATTCCATGAAAATGAGGAAGTTCAATGTCAAATTCAAGCTTGAGGTTACTAAATAATAGCAGTACAACTAACATTGAGCTTACTAGATGCCAGGTACCTTCCAAGAGCTTTACTTCTGCTGTCACTCACTCTCACAGTAGGCAGTAATAGCATTCCCATTTTACAAATGAAATAAGCCAAGATGGCACAGTTTGATTAGTAAATTGAGCTTTGATCCAAAGTCAGGCAGTCTGACTCTGGAGACTCCGCCCTTAACCATAACCTTATGATGTGCTATGTGCCATTTACTCTATCTTAACATTTTACAAATAATAAAATACATGTTTACATAAAAATGAAATGCACTCTATCTTCACACCCCAAGAAAGGACAGCCTTCAGGATGACTCTGAACTATTTGCCAACTTCACTTTGTGTGTTGGATAAAGTAGGTCTAAGCTGGAATGAAAAGTTGGAGTATTTTCTGCATTATAGAATACAATAAATTATGCTTGGCAAGTGTTTTCAAATGAGGACTGACCACCAAGTAATTGACCATAAGGATTATTTTATGTCTACTTCTGGATCTTTTGTGTACCACTTCTTAGTACTGAACTTAAGTGTGTTATAAAATTATAACAATGTTGTGAAGAAACAACAACCCTAATATAACTTACTTTTTCTATCTTAACAAATTAACAGCTTTCAATATTTTATTATTCTAACTTTGGGTTTAATTCTAGAGTTTGCTTACATACATACTTAGCATTTTTTGTCTTTGTCTAGATAAAAGTTTGCATTCTACTTGATTGCTCCATGTTTCTGGTGTACAAGTATATGATAGAAGATATTCCTCTATTAAGAAGTTAAGAACTTCTGACATTTACAATTTTTGGCTTAAAGCTAGCGTTAATGATTTAGTTTTTCCCCCATTAATGTTGAGAGGCAAGGTTTTAAAGAACATAGAAGATTTAATTTCTGGTTCTGCAATCTCTTCTCCGTGTAGCCCTAACAAACCACATCCTATTACTACCTCAATTTTTCTACAAGAAGAATGTAAATAAATTATAAAACCTTAAATTCTGGAAGAAAGGAGACATATTGTCAAGACACAATATAATAATAATATTATTTTTTCTTTTTTAACATTTTATTTTTTATCCTCACCTGAAGACATTTATATATTCATTTATTTTTATATTTATCTTCAGATAGAGCAGGAGGAAGAGAGGGAGGAAGGGAGACAGAGAAACATTGATGTGAGAGAGACACATCGAGTGGCCACCACCCACACGACCAAAACCGGGGCCGGGGACAAACTGCAATTGAGGTACATGCCCTTAGCGAGAACCCAACCCGGGCCTCTCTGGTCCACGGGCCAACACTCTAACTGCTGAGGCAAACCAACTAGGGCCACAATATATTATTAATGACCTCCTAGAAGCATGTCTCTATATATTTCATTATGCAATTTACATTTGTTATATAGTCTTGTTAGACAGTCATGCTGTCATAGAGTGCCTCAGTTCTGACACTATTAAGTAGTAAATTCTAGTACATTCTTACTTGGAAGTCTCATCTTCTCATAGGAAAGGATTGTATTTAACTTCAGGGCATATGAACACTTAAATTATTAAGGTTTTTCTCCATTATGGGGAGGAACAACTATCTGTCATCTTACTGTAAATATTGCTATACAAATACCAAAATACAAGTGGATTTAACACCATTTCTTTTCTAATCAACAGAACAGTTTTGGCATGTGACTGACTTACACTTAGACCCTACTTACCACATCACAGATGACCATACAAAAGTGTGTGCTTCATCCAAAGGCATAAATGCCTCCAATCCTGGCCCTTTTGGAGATGTTATGTGTGATTCTCCATATAAACTTATTTTGTCAGCGTTTGATTTTATAAAAAATTCAGGACAAAATGCATCTTTCATGATATGGACAGGGTAAGTTATTATATAAATACCATGAGTTACTAAATGTCTTAAGCTTCATTAAATTGCTAAATTCCATTAGATTAATTATGTTTTAAAAATTATTTAGATTTTAAAAATTCTAGGTCATTCAATTCTTGGTCTCATTAAAATTACTCAACATTATTAAAGATAAGAAAATTTTTAGAATTGTGTGTTGATTTTTTTTAGAATACATGCTCTAGAAATATGTTTATATGACTAAGACATGAGTCTATAAACAACACACTTGTATCAGTATATTGATATTCTTATTAATGTGATAAAAATCTTGATTAAATAATGAAAACAAATGGCAACAATGGGAGTTGACCTGTGATAGCAATTTTGTAAATAGCATCTTCTGATAATATAATTAAATAATTTCATCCACTATGATATAGGGAAGAGGTCTGTATATCCTGTACCTGAACTAGTGACTATGGCACTATTTTAATTAATTTATACATTGCAACTCATTTAATCTTTGCAGTAAATATTATTATTATCTCCATTTTACTGATGAGGAAATGAAGGCACTTACCTCAGTACACACAGCCAGAAAGTGGCAAAGCTGGGATTTGAATCCAAGCATTTCAGCTCTGGAATCTGTGCTTTTTATTTACTAAAATTTTTTATCTTTCATAAATCTGTAGTCAGGCAGTAAAATAAGCTGAGTTTTCTAGCTGGTCTTTTGTAATTACACATATTTTTAAAAATAAGATTCTTCATGGGAGAAAGGCAAACAAGGAGTAGTTTAGCAGCTCTTTCATTCCCTCTGTTGTTTTGTGGTAGCAGTCTGCAGTGATAGTACACAGCAAGGCATCATGTCGAAGTCTAGTGACTTTTTATGGAAACTGATTTTGTTCTCTATGATTCTTTCTTATTTTCAGGGACAGCCCACCTCATGTGCCAGTGTATGAACTCTCTACAGACACAGTCATAACGGTGATTGCTAATATGACAAAGACTATCCGGAGTCTCTTTCCTAAACTCCAGGTTTTCCCTGCACTGGGTAATCATGACTATTGGCCACAGGTAAATTTGACCTTAACTTCCAGGAGTGCTTAAAGAATTTTTTCCATCAGTACTGTTAAAATTATGACAATAACTAGCTGATGGTAGGGTGTGGGAGTGGGGCTCTTAGAGGCAGTGTGTTCTTTTTTGTTGTTAATCCTCACCCAAGGATATTTTTTCCATTGATTTTCAGAGAGAGTGGAAGGGAAGGAGGGAGGAATCGAGGCATGGTAGAGAGAGAAAGAGAGAGAAATATCGATGTGAGAGAGATACATCGATTGATTTTCTCCCAAATACGACCAGGGCCGGGGATGATACCTGCAACCCAGGTATATGCCCTTGACTGGGAATTGAACCCAAAACCCTTTGGTGGGTGGGTAGACACTCTAAGCTCTGATCCACACTGGCCAGGGCCAGAGTGTGTTCTTAATGCTAACCATCATGGAAGGCAAGAGAAGTGTTTTGAGGACTTTAAAATTTCAAAGACTGTTAGGTCCATAGTGAGTTTTTGGAAGCACATTACCTAGTTTGTGGACTATTAATTTTTGTTTTCCTTTATAATCTTTCTTCATTTCTCCATTCTCTTGAGTATTTGTGTCATTTATTCACATTTCCATGAAAGTTAACAAAGAAGGTTAATAACAAATGTTTACGTTTTCCAGAATTTTTATTAGGTATACAAAGCTCTCCATACCCTAAACTAAATAGATTGTAATTGAAAACTTTTATTTATTTATTTATTTAATCCTCACTCGAGGACACTCTTGCATTTATCTTCAGATAGAGTGGGAAGGAGAGAGGAAGGAAGAGAGAGAGAGAAGCATCAGTTTGAGTGGCTGCCACCCACACGACCCCAACCGAGGCCGAGGACAAACTGCAACCGAGGTACATGCCCTTAGCGGACACCAAACCTGGACTCTCTGGTCCGCAGGCCAACACCCCAGCCACTGAGTCAAACTGGCCAGGGTGTGATTGAAAACTTTTAAAACATAGCAAACTATTATAAGAACCACAGAGGGAGGTTTGTATTCAAGTCCAGTTTATTGATTTAAGATGTGATTCAAGGCAGAGACTGTATTCAGAATATTTAATGCCTGATACAGCCGAACTTCAACTTATCAGAGCAGCATTTGTTAAGTAGCCTGTACATAACAGCTGGGTACCAGCCTTGGTTTCAAGGTCCTGTCATGGTAGTGTAGAGATTCAAGAAATCTCAGAGGTTATTGTTTAGTTCAGAGCTTGGGAAACTATGGCTTATGGTTCAAATTGACCTGCCACTTGTTTATATAAATAAAGTTTTATTGAAACACAGCTATGCCTATTCTTTCTGTATTGTCTATAGATTCTTTTCCCTTTTTAATATGTTTTTACTGTTTTGTTTTTTTTTTAGAGAGAGAGGAAGGGAGAGAGACAGAAACATCGATGTGAGAAACATCAATCAGCTGCCTCCTGCACGTCTCCCACTGGTGATCAAGCCCAAAACACAGGCATGTGCCCTGACCCGGAATGGAACCCGGACCTCTTAGTCCATGGGACCATGCTAAATCCACTGAGCCACACCAGTTTATGGCTTCTTTTGCACCAACAGCAGAGTAGAATAGTTGTGAAAGAGATCATATCAATTGTAAGCCTAAACTATTTATCATTTGGGCCTTCATAGAAGGAGTTTGCTGATCCTGGTCAGATCTACTCTTCATTTTATAGATGAGAAAACTGAGGCCTATAAATGTTCAGTTGCTTGTTCACGTGCTCACAGTCACTCAGGGGCGGACCACATTCTGGATCTTTGTGTGCCATTAGACCAACATCTTTTCACACAGCTCTTGCTCTTGCCAGATTCACATAATCAACATCTGGGAACACGACGTTTCCTTTCATTGCCTCTCTTTATGTATTTTTTATTTTGCTTAGAGAATCTTTTCCATCTCATGTCAAAAGGATGCTTCATAAGGGTGTTGATTGTATTAGTTGATCTAGTCTGTATACAGTGGTTTAGAAACGTTGTATTCTAGGATGAGCTTAAATTTTAAGTGACTTCTTGGCACTGGCTTCCAGACTTGAGATGAACAATATGTGAGTCTTTGTGAGTTGACCTCTCAACCCCTGGTCAACTTTTGTTACTACTGAGATGTTAGAGTCCGATCGCTGTGGCTCAGTGGTTGAGCATCGACCCATGCACCAAGAGATCCCTGGTTCACTTCCCAGTCAGGACACATGCCCAGGTTGTGGGCCTGATCCCCAGTAGGGGAACATTCAGAAGGTGGCTAATCAATGTTCTCTCTTATTGATGTTTCTATCTCTTTCTTCCTTTCACTTCCTCTCTCTCTCAAATCAATAAAGGAAAAGCAATTTTGAAAAAAGAAGAAGAAGAAGAAGAAGAAGAAAAAAGAGATGTTAGACCATACAGTGCAGAGGCTTGGGGACGAAGAGGGGATCTGGAAGTTATACACATTGTTTTTATATGCTTTAGGTGACAGGCTGACTGATACAGTGGAAAAGTGGGGTTTAGAGTCCCATTCACTAGAATTTAAATCCTTATCTTGCCCTGTGTCTAATAGCTTGACCAACTTGGATAATTCACTTAATGTCCCTGATCCATAGGTCACTCATTTGCAAATAGGAACGATAATACCCTCCTCGCAGAGTTTTTGTGAGAATTAGTGACACTGTGTGAGAAGGGCATAGCTTCCTACCCGGCACATAATGAGGCCTTACTTGGTGGAGTGGTGGTTTTTACAGAATTAAGCTGTAACATGTGATGCATTTTTCCTTCCTCGTTTGAGGGTTTCTTTCTTTTTTACTTTTATCTCTGTCTTCATTTTATGAAGTCGTATCTTTTTACAAATATGTTTTTATTGATTTTTTAGTGAGAGAGGAAGGGAGAGAGAATTAGAAACATTGATGTGAAAGAGAAACATTGATCGGCTGCCTCCTATATGCCCCTCACCAGAGATCAAGCCCACAACTCACGTGTGTGCCCCACCTGGGAATTAAACAGGGACCTCTCATTCCATGGGCTGATGCTCAGTCCACTGAGCCACATCTGCCACACTGAAGTCATATCTCATAACAATTCAAAGATGTAGGTACTATTCAACTTCTAAACTGTATCTTATTTTATGTACAGCTAAGGTCAATTGGCAGCCTGTATACCTTAAACAGTTAATTTTCTTCTCTTTCTAGCTTATACTTTATATCTGAACATCTTTTTTTTTTTAGACCTCCCCTGAGGATACATTTTTATTGATTATAGAGAGAGAGGAAGGGAGAGAGATAGAGAGAGAGAAACATTGATCGGCTGCCTCCTGTATGTGCCCCGACTGAGGATCAGTGGTAACCTAGGTATGTGCCCTGAACTGGAATCCATCCTGCATCCTTTTGGTGTATGGGAAAATGCTCCTACCAACTGAGCCACCTGACCAGGGCCATATCTGACAATATTTTTATTATTCTACTCCCAGCCTTCCACCCAACACATAACATTTCAGTAATGTAACATGAAAACCCCACAAAAATTTTACTAGAGACTAATAACTGAGATTGAATTCTGGTGAGTATTAATAACAAAGATGACAGGTGTTATTTCCATTAAAATCCCATAAATATGTACATAAACATAGCTACATAAACAAGCATATACAGACACATGTCTTCACCCACCCATTCCATCAGAAGTTGGTACTAATGTGGGCAGCCCAGGGATTCCTTCCAGTTGCCACCCAAGAAAGCTGTCTGGTCCAGGGTCCTAAACTGGTAAGGCTAGTGCCACAAAACTTATGGGTGGGTCCTAGTGTATACCTCATTTCTCGGAAGTGGTCATAGCCCCAAAGTACTGAGATGATAGCATGGTGCAATACATAATTGGACATAAGAGTGATGACCGGGATTTAGACACAGCTCTGCAACTGACCAGTTGTCCCTGAATAAATCACCTAACTTTTTTGGTGCTTATATAAAGAGTAAAGTCTAGAGTTCTTTTTATATGATTTTAAGATTCTACATGACCATATATTGGCTTCCATCTCAAAGTAAAGAATCGGTTAAGACTTTTTTTTCATGATGATGATGATGACGATCAATTTTTAAATTTATTATTATTATTGTTTTATTGATTTTTAGAGAGAGAGTAAGAGAGAGAGGGAGGAAGAGAAAAACTGATGTGAGAGAGTAACATTGATTGGCTGCCTCCAGTATAACCTGGGCATGTGCCCTGACCGGGAATTGAACCGGCAACCTTTTGGTGCATGGGACAATGCCCAACCAACTGAGTCACACTGACTAGGGCAATGACTACCAATTTTTAATCAGAATCTAGATTGACCTACACCACTGTGTAATTTTTAGACAGATGATTCTGATCTCTGACACAGATTGAAAATATGCTTTGGATAATTAGTTCCAGTTAAAACAAGTCATTTGTCTATTACCTGCTCTGAATGTATTTTTACTTTCATCATATATTTGGCATATTGCATTAGGAACTAATGTGACTTGGGTATTATCTTGAAAAATAACTAAGCATTTTAATTAATGCTGACAGGCAAACTCCTTTAAGAAATAGGTCTTTATCACTAATATACAGAAGGAAATTAAGGTATAAATTTGAATATAATGAATAAAATGGCATCATGGGATGATGCTCAATCCACTGAGCCACACTGCCGGGAAGTATATACTTGTTTAAAGTTTTGGGTTTTTTCCTTCTTAGAGCTTATGTCACCAAAAAGATACTTTATTGTAATATGATAAAATAAGGTGATAAAAGATAGTTTATGATAATAAAAATAATGTTTTATACATCTAGTATACAATTAAAAATCAAAACATGTTGATAAAATCTAAACTGACATAAGAAACTTCTTCAAATCAAATTTTTGTGGCTATACATCTTTAAGAAGTTAAGAAACTTTATACTAGTGTTAACATTTCAGAGGAGTTGGTCTAATTTTTTCCATTCCTTCCACATGCTACACAAGACCCTGCATGTTCAAGCCCAAACCTGCCTTCTGTGTCTCTTTACTGAGCACACGTTCACATGGATTCCATATGCTGGGTACACGAAAATGAGTGCTCTGTATATACCACTGTGTTTGTGTAGGCCATTGTTTTTGTCTTTTAAAAAAATATATTGTCAATATGCTATAATATATTATTTTCAGGTGTATGACAGTGATTTGACATTTATATACCCAAAGATGTGGTTGCCATAAGTCTGACACTGTATATGGTTATGATATTATTGACTGTATTCCCTATGCTGTACCTTACATCCCTGTGACTTATTGATTTTATAGCTGGAAATTTGTGCCTCTTGTTCCCCTTTTACTTTTTTTGCCCTTCCTCTCTAGCAACAATCATTTTGTTCTTTATGCTCATGAGTCTGTTTCTGTTTTGTTTTGTTCATTTGTTTTGGTTTTTAAATTTCACATATAAGTGATCTCATAAGGCATTTGTCCTCCGTCTGATCCCTTTTTTTGTCACCTTGATTAATCCTTATTCAGGCCTGGTTCAAATGCTCTAGTCTCTCTCCCCACTGACTCTTTGGAGCAGACTTGATAGTTCTTGCTTCTGTACTCTCAGAACCTCTGCATTAGCACCTAATGCATTGTCTTAGAGGTGATTGCTTATATTTTGTCCCTGTCTCCCCAACTAAGTTATAAATTCCTTGAAGATTAAGTCTATCTAGTATTCATCTTTGCATTTTCAGATGCGTAGTAGAAAGCACTCCCGTAATATTTAATTAATTGATCCACATACTCTTTAGAGTTTCAATGTGAATTATATTGTTTGTGGCCAGGATCAACTGCCTACATTCAACAGCAAGGTATACAATGCAGTAGCAGACCTCTGGAAACCATGGCTAGATGAAGAAGCTATTCAGACTCTAAGGAAAGGTAAGTGAAAGATTTACTCATCTCCATTTTGCCTCTATTTTAATTCATGTTGTTTAGACTTCCATCTTTAATGTTTGCTTGGCAGTGCCAATTCTGGAGAGCCTTTTACCCAGTTTTTCTAGAGGCCATAAATCATGTTTGATAGCTTAGGAGAGAGAGGCATGGGTGGTGAGTGGGCCCAGGGCACAAAAATCAGGGCTAACATCTCAGTGGCTAGCTCTGACAGCCGCCTCTTAGATGTCCCGGCACCATTGGTGTGAGGTGTCAGTGGGGTTATGCCATTCAGCCTCATCCCCTAGGAGACTGTAGCAGCTTTGGTTTGTCTGTCATTTCTTCAGTCATCTCTGACAAGATCCATGTGTGTTTCCATTCTTTGGATTTTGTATCTCACAATGATTCTCATCTTAACTTTCCCAATCACACAAAAGTAAGATTTGATATATTAATCTTTCTTTTACAAAATTTAGTACTTCATTGCTTAGTGCTGATACATTTAATTTTACTTTCATCTGGATACTGGAAACAGCTCTTGTTGCCTCGGTGTATGGAAGTGCCAGCATCGGACCAGCACAGAGCAGGTTTTCAGTGTGTGTTTGTTAGACCTGATTCTTATTCAACGATGGCCTATGTATGTACAAACTAAACAATGAGAAATAAATGTAACCATCCTGGCTGGCTTGTAAACCTTAAGTAAGAATTTGCTTTCGGAGTGATTGCATGTCTGTATGTTTGTTTTTCTAGAATGTGTTTAAATTTGTTTTTATAGGTGGCTTCTATTCACAGAAAGTTCCAAATAATCTGAATCTTAGGATCATCAGTCTAAACACAAACTTGTACTACGGCCCGAATATTATGACCCTGAATAAGAGTGACCCAGCAAATCAGTTTGAATGGCTAGAAAATACACTGAATACCTCTCAGCAAAATAAGGAGAAGGTAGATTTCATAGACCCAAATCATCAGGGGATAAACAGAGGGCTAAATTATTTATTAAACTTGGGGGTTGCACATCAGGTATTGATAAAAATGTAAAAATTTAAAGATGTTTTTATATGGAACATGATTTATCTCTGTTGTTATTTGTTTTATTTTTGTTTTGCTTGTAATGTTTTGATGATCAATTGACATCAGTTGATATAAAAAGAGGCTGATATTAAAAAAAAGTTGGGACCAATGTTACAGTTACCTTATATCATTAACAGTGTAATTTAAATGAGATAAGTGCAAATACAATTAAATTAATAGTTTTCTAATTTTACCTTTTTTGGTTATAAATAGCAAAGATGGTATGTTTGCTTTCTAAATTTTAATTAATGTACTTTAATCTTGGGTATCTAAATGTTATTTAGTTACGACAAATGTGCAAAAAGACTCTCACGGGTCTGCCTGTGTTTCTCTCCCCAGGTGTACATCATAGCACACATTCCAGTGGGGTATTTGCCCTTTTCACAGAATACTACAGCCATGAGAGAACACTATAATGAGAAACTGATAAATATTTTTAGAAAATACAGCAATGTCATTGCAGGACAATTTTATGGACACACTCACAAAGACAGCATTATGGTTGTTTCAGATGCAAAAGGTAATATGACATTTCATTTATATCTCCCCAATCCAAGTTGCTGGATCAAAGCAGCAAATCTCTGTTAATTTTTACTGATTTAGTAAGGGAAATGTTCAGCAAATCAACCTAGAAGTGCCAGATGTTACTTGTCTTCCATAACAGTGTGGTGGGTGCCAAATCATAGTTGGGCCTTCAGCTGCGTTTCTTCCCATTAGTGCCACAGGGCCACTGTCATTTGTTTGCTGTCAACACAAAAGCCTTGGAAACCCTCAGCTGACTCAAATTTTCTTTTCCTTTTTTTTTTTATCCTCACCTGAGGACATTTTTCCATTTTTTGTTCAGATAGAACAAAAAGGGAAGAAGAGAGAGAAAAACATCGACATGAAAAAGACACATCGAGTGGCTGCCTCCCACACGACCCAACGGGGGCCCGGTACAGACTGCAACCGAGGTTCGTGCCCTTAGCAGGAACTGAGCCCGCATCTCTCTGGACCGATGCTCTCACCACTGAGCCAAACCATACAGGCTCAAATTTTCTTTTAGATCCTTCAGTTTAGAGAAATACTGCTGTTAGATATTTACCTGCTAGACTCAACTTTATTTTGAGATGACTTGTTTTATTTCTCCTAATTTAAAAGCAAAGCACATTTTACCATTGGTTTAAACTAGAACATAATAAGCTCTTACTTTTAACTGCTTGTCGACATTGTCATCTACTCAGCATTGAAGGGAAAAAAAATTGAAAAAATTCTAGCATCAAACCAAGCAATGATGATCTATTTTTAAAAATTACTTCTGCATGAAGGCAGAAATCTGAGAGTTAACAAAGCAAGGCTTCTGATTTTATAGTATTTAGCCAAGAGAGAAATCAATATATATATATTTTTTTTAGTAATTGGAGAACATTTTTGAAATGCTTTTCCTCTTTTATTTAGAATGAGTGGGCTTGGTGAAAATGATAATTTTTTAGAATTTGATAGCCTTTTTACTCAGAAAGAAATTTAGTTTTATGATATGTATAAAACGTGGTGACACTTTAATTAAATTTTTATTATATAGTTATTGAAATGTTGTCTCAGGTAGAGGTACAGGACAAACTGGTTTTCTATATATATTTTTGTGTGTACTTGTAATAACTTAAATGTTTTATTATGAATATTTTCAGATATATAAAAGCAGATACAACAATGATACAGTAAATTCCCATGTACCATGATTTATTTTAACATCTATCAAGATTTTACCACATTTGCTTTGCCTATTCATTTATTAGTGTGTTTCTTTTTCTTACATTATCTGTAAGTGAATCTTAACATTGGATGTTTTAGCCTTACATGATTCTGTATGCATTGCTAAAATACATGAGTACTTTACATAACCATAATACCATTAGCTTATCTAACAAAATCAGTAACAATTCTTTGCTATCATCTAATACCAACCCATAATAAAAATGTTACTATTTTCTCAAAAGTGTTTTTTTTTGTTTTGTTTTTTTTACAGTTGTTTCAAGTCATGATCCATCAGTCATCATATATCATTGGCTGTTATGTGTTTTAAACTCTTAATCTGGAACTTGTTCATATTTTAATGTAGTTGAACTTAATTTCTAAAAAACTATTTTTATGTGCACATGCTTTTTCCAGGAAGTCCAATAAATTCTGCATTTGTGGCTCCTGCTGTTACTCCGGTGAAGGGTACTTTACAAAAACAGACCAACAACCCTGGTATCAGACTATTTCAGTACGATCCTCATGATTATAAATTATTGGTAAGTTGATACAGTTTTAGAATTTGCCCCATACTTATGCATGTCTTTGTAGTTTTCATTAGTTTAGTTGAATGTTTTCAGCGTAGCTATGTGAATTGTGTTTTATGTTAAAATCTTATGATATCTTTCTTCTTTTTCATATTTAGAATGTCTGCTTTCTAAGTGTGGGCTTAAGAGGTCAGCCTCTAGGAGGCTGTTTCTGTAAAACTTCTGAAGACTTCACATTTAGTCTGCTGAAGGTTTCATTGGGTATTGTCTCCTACCTGTGGACTGTATATATGTTGAAACTTTTCACTAAGCCTTATTTCTTATTAATTACTCTTTAGAATATAGCTATGAAGGAAAGTGTAGGTTCTGAACCCATACTATCTCATGAGCTATATTACCTAACTTCTCTGTCTGAGTCTATTCCTCTGTAATATGGGCATTAAAATATTACCAACCTCACTGAGTTGCTGTGAGGGTTATATAAACAAATACATATAAAGCACTAAGAAAATGCTTGGCTTATAGTAAGTGCTCAATAAATGTTGGCCAAAAAATTTTGTAAAGAAAATAAGTTGAGTTGAACATTTTTGATTGTGGACAAAGTTCTCTGGAGCTTGCGCGTGACTCTGCTTCAGACAAATTTAGCATCGAAAGACTGGCCATTTAGCTTATGGGTAGTACCCCTTTCAACAAATTAATTGCAAGGAATTTCTCAGCGACTATATTGATGTAACTGCATTTTTTCCCCTAGATAGATTTAATAAGAGGTAGCTCTTTTATTCCCTAGAGGATGTTCTTACAAAAGAGGTAGGGCAGGGGAAATCTGGTTTAATCCATAAACATTAGATCAAATGAGAAAATAAAATAATTGACAGATAAACTAGTTCAAAGGAATCTTTTTACAACTATTAGTCGCCCATTTTTAGATTGGAACCTCAGATACACACACGGTGTATATCTATAGACATAGAATGATGTCCCTGATATAGCACTCAGTAATTTTTAGAAGTGCCAAACAGTTTGTATAGTATGACTTCATTTTTTTAAAAAAGCCAAAAAAATAGGAAATAGGTATATATTTTCTAAATATTTATATTTATTTTGTACATAAACTCTAGAACAACATATGTACATTGACATGCCGGTAAATGTTTAACAACTTTTTCACTGGGGAAAAAAACACTTTTATTTATAGTGCTTGCCAATTTCCATGATGTAAATACTCTCATCATAGTCAATTTCAAACTGCCTAAGTAATATCAACTAACTTGCAAGATTCCTGAAAATTTGACAATCAGCTCTTGTAAGCTGGTTACAAGTCGCCTCCAGCACACCACTGATGTGTACACAACTATTAGCGGCGGTTACTTTTGAGGTGGGTGAATTAAAGGCTTTTTATGAAAAAAAATTATATAGATCTTCTATTGGGACTCTTTTTCTTTAAAACCAATGCTCACCCTTTTTAATGACCACAACTTTAAATTAGGAATGTCATTGTAAATCCTAGTAAGGGCTCCTATTGCTGTGCAATACTTCATATGCCCCAAAGTGAACCAGGTTTTGTTACTGTTTTTAACTATAGGATATATTGCAGTATTATTTGAACCTGACAGATGCTAATCTAAAGGGAGAATCCAACTGGAAGCTGGAGTATATCCTGACCAAGACTTACAATATTGAAGATTTGCAACCAAGCAGTTTGTATGAATTAGCTAAAGAATTTGCAACCCCAGACAGTGAGAAATTTGTAAAATACTATAATTACTACTATGTGAGTTACAACAGCAGTGTAATTTGCAGTGAGAAATGTAAGGCCTTTCAAATTTGTGCAATTATGAATCTTGATCAAAATTCCTATGTAGCTTGCCTCAAACATTATTATATAAAGTCCAATCTATAGTATTTCACAACTTGTGTTCATAGAAAATGTAACATTGCTCTGTTTATGAGATCAGTTTGTGGGAACTGTTACATAAATCTTTGTGAGTTACTGAGTGGGCAAGCAGAATTCCTTTCTTTCTTGTGATGCCTAGATGTAGATATTTTTAATATTCTAAATTTTTATTACATTAAATATACTTAAACTATTACTAGAATGATGTTTGGATCAAATTTTCTGTTTTCCAGTTTGTATAATTATATCTAATTTATGTTCTTGTTGATATTGTTATCTTTACAGTAAAGCAAATGACTTTTTCCTAAGTATGATGAATTATTCTTTCAAAGATAATTTTCAGTTTGATTAATTCACCTTGTTAAAACCCCGTGTGTAAACTGAGGTTTCAACTTTTTACATCTCACGTGTAAACGGGGTTAACATTATTTACATGCCTGTGTCCCCTTGGGAAAGCACCAGTGTCTCATCATGGTCATCTCTGAGTCTATGAAACATCACCAGACATGTGGCATCTAGCTGTTTTTGCTCTGTAAGTGAATGGGAGTGCTCTTTAGTCCTGCTAACTTTTTTAAAAAGTTTTTTTTCTTTATTGATTTTTAGAGAGAGAGAGGAAGATAGAGGGAGAGAGAGAGATGAAAACATTGATAAGAGAGAACATTGATTGGCTACCTCCTGCACACCCCTTACTGGGGATTGGGCCCACAACCTGGGCATGAGCCCTGTCTGGGAATCAAACCGGCAACCTCTTGGTGCATGGGCCCACGCTCAGCCACTGAGCTACACTGGCCCAGCTAGTCCTGCTAACTTTTAAGGAGAGAATGTTACAAGTTGTACTTACTGTAACTGCAGTACTAGCACAAGACGTAGGTCCTAGTCTAATGTCTGACACTTGGTAAATAATTGTTGAAATGAATTGAAAGGTGTGAATATTTCTCAAAGAAGTGTACTGGGATGCAGCGGTGGCATTTTCTTTGTCACAATGGTCTGAGAGGGGATAACAATGAGCTTTCATTTCATGGGTTGTTTTTAGGGTTTTCCCATGGTTGTTCGCTTCTCAACATCTCTCAAGCGGTTGTTTGTTTCTAGGCTCAGTGAGAGAATTAAAGTAGAAGAGGAGAGGACGAGGCTGAGAGATTTAGGGGAAGAGATGATTGTACATCCCAATATATTGGTTTGCTGGAGAAGGCATGTAGTCAGCAGCCTTAGGTCGGTCAATAAGGAGAGTGAAACTCATTATCCTTGTGACTGGTTTGACATCATGTAAAAATGACTTGTAGATATGAGATCGCATTGTGATGGAACCAAATTATCTTCATTTCCAGAGGGCTAAGTATGTGAATATTATAAAATTAAAATATTATATGTAATAAACTATCAATATTTGTTAGGTGAACACTTACAAAATTTTTTAGGTTTAAAAATAAATTAGTATGTTTTAGACATGAGGATACTGAAACAAAGCAAATAATCATATCATTTAGAAACCACCCAACCTGCAATTATATTTAAAGTTAGTATTGTCAAATGACTACATCGTGTATGTATATATTTTTGTACTTAATGGTAAATGTTTTAAGAAAACAGGCTTGTGCCATATCAGAAAAACTGGTGAAAGCCGAAGATGATGGGAGCGGATTCAGACCATGAGGCCCAGCGCTGGAAGTGAACAGCCTGGGCTTGCGGAGGGAATCTCTGCATCTCTGGGGGACCTGGGCAGTGAGCACGCAGGGTCCTTCCCACATTGTTCTACAATATAAACTTTTTAATGCTACCTTTTTGTATTCAGTATATTTTTACCTTAAAATAGAAATAAATGATCTGAAGGTTCAAATAACATTGAGGTATGTTATCAGTAGTTAAGTGAATTTTTCAATTCCACAATCAGAGCTGTTACAACTATTTATTGTGGTTTATTTAATATTATGTTCAATTATATAACAAATGTTATTACGTCCACAGTGACACTTGTCTTGATTCGCCTCTGTTTATTGATAGTGTTTTGGCAAATTTGTAAAATACACCTTGTTTAGATTAAATCAATACTTTCAAACCAGTTTTATTTCATCCTTTAGCCACACACTGACAGGAAGGGAAGGAAGGGGAGCGAAGATGAGGGGAATGGGAGGGAGTCCTTGGGAAGGGCCACTGATTCAGGCGAGTAGAGATGTTTAGGGGCAAAACATACCAGCTTATATATACTAGGAAATATCTATTCAAATGAAATTTTTTCCATTTATAATACAAATACTCTGTTATGAATGGTTTGGGTAAATTGAATAGCCATCTCCCATCTTGACTGATGGGGGCGGATCTTCGTAAACTCAGCAGTCTTAGTGGTGCCTAGTCCTAGGTTCCATCTGACCTTGTATCCAGACCCCCGAGAAGATTCTGTGACTCCAGATTCTTAAAAGATGAGCTGAAACCTGCCTCTCTAATATTGTCATATCTGAATAAGTCAGTCAGAGAAAGACAAACACTATGATTTCACTTATATGTGGAATCTGAAAAAAATAAACCAACAAAATGGAAATGGAAACAGACTCATAGATACAGAGAACAGACTTGTAATTATCAAAGGGGAGAGGGTCTGGGGGACTGGGTGAAAAAGCTGAAGGGATTAAGAAGTACAGATTAGTAGATACAAAATACTCATAGGGATGTAAAGTACAGCAGAGAGAATACAGTCAATAATATTATGATAACTATGTATGGTGCTAGGTTGGTACTGAAAATATGGGGGGCCACTTTGTAAAGTACATGATTGTCTGTCTAACCACTATGTTCTACATCTGAAACTATTACAAAATAATATTCAACATAACTGTAATTTAAAAATAAAATTACGAAAAAAAAATAGTCAACTCCAAGTCAAAAGAGATAATAGGAATATTGTCACATCTGCCTTGAGCGATTCTTCTATGCAGTGAGCTTTATGTCAAAAGAAGAAAAATGGAACTTCATTGGGCTAACAGGATAGGTAATATGACTGTTTCTGGACCTGCTTGCTAAATAAAATCTAGGAGACTTGCTTCAGTTGTTAATGTCATCACATAAAGTAGGTGGGGTGGGGAAGGAGGTGATACTCTTCACCTTCCTCTAACCATTGGAGCTACCTATACCTTCCAAAAGAAATGAGTCACTGCACATAACTTCATTGGGTCAGTTCTACAATATAAGTTGAAGATGAAATTCTCTCTTGTTTAGCAGTTTAGTGTGAGGACTATACCTAAGAGTAAACTCTCAATAGTATACAGTAAGAATCATGTATAGAAATAACCTATGGCAGCATTGTTTGTAATAATAATAATGTACCTGTAAACCAGTTAAGTATACATCAACAGGAGGATGGATAAATAAAATATTATTTATTCAGAATGTGGAATATTATTCAGAAGTGAAAATTACCATGAATAAATGCCACAAGCATAATGACGAGTGAAAAACAAGTTGCCAAAGGACAAATACCAATGTAATACCATTTATATCAAACTTTAAAAATGCGAAGATCAAGAAGATCAAGAAGATGCGAAGACCAAGAAGATCAAGAAGAGGTATATGTAACAGGGCAAATTAGGGATATACGTTCATAGACAAGAAAGAGGTATGCTAGTAAAATAAATACTAAATATAAGAGTTGGAGGATAGTGAATGTGAAAGGTGATAGGGGAGAGAGAAATAAGGGATTTTAATGTGCCGGTAGAGTTTTAGTTCCAAATGCAGTCAGTGGCTATATAGATGTTTTCTCTATACATTTTTATATATTAAATATAATATATTCACTTTTTAAGGGGGACAGAGAGATCCAGCTTGGAAAGTTGGACATTTTGGCTTTCCTGTGGAGAGTTACTCCTAGGGAAAGCATGGAGACATTGGGAGGGTGTGAAGTAGTGTGGTTGAGAGGGGATGCAGTGGCTGAGGTGAGGCAGTGGAGAAAGATAGCTCATTTGTGATCTATTGTGGATGCAGCAGCAGGATTTGTTTCTGAAAAGGGAGGTGGGGGTTTTGAGACATAAGAGAAGAAGGGTAGTGCGTCCTCTCACGTTGTGGTAAGGAGTACTTAGTAAGTAGGAAGTCACTGGGAGGTGATACGAGAAGGTGAGGTGGTCAGGGCTTCTGGTTAGACACGTTTAACCTTTATTCATTTCAAGTTCAGTCAAGGCACTTACCTCTCTGTAATTCAATTTGCTTCACCTATTAAATGAGGGTTATAACATCACCTTATTTATAACATTGCTGTGGGAATTAAATGAAAATGTCAAGTTCACAGCTCCGTTTCTGGACATAGCATTATATAAGAGATATGACTATTAATGCTATTTTTAACGTTATTCGAGGCCCAAAGGGAACAGAGTGGATTTGACAAGAACATGGATGAGTACAGAAAGTACGGATGACGTTAAGGAAAACAACCTCACATTTTTTAGTGCTCTGGAGAACATTCTGTTTACACAAAAATAAAGCTGCAACTGTTGGTCTTTGTATGTTACAATTCTTTCCCCAAATATGTATGGGGTTTCTTTGATGCTCCAGGCACTACTCTAGGTGCTAGGGATACAACAGTGAACAAAAAAGACAAGTATCTCTGATCTTGTGGAGCTCATTTTAGCACAGACATCAGTGTGATGTCTCTGTGTGTGTATGCACACAGCTTATTGGGAACACTGATTGCCTCTGAACCACATCACACATAATTAAAACAGACTTAACAATTAAAGTAAATTTAACAGGGTTTTCTTCATTGCTATGGACTTCATTTGCAGAGAACTAATTAGTGGGGGCGTGACTATCATGTCACAAAACAAGTGTTAAAAAACTGACAACTATATTACAAAGATGTCTGCAAAAGTCTTCAACATTTGGGAAAACGATGGAAAGTTACTAAAATTATTGCTTTGTCTAAAACCATGTATATATTTACATAAAAATCGAAGTGGTTATCACAACATAGAAAAAAATGATTTTCAGATTAGTCTGCCAGGCAGTTTATTATTTCGATGATCATTATGGATACTTGTTGGATACTTACAAAATCTTTTTTCATGCCTGTGTTTGAAACACATTTATTCTTAGATCTTCAGGCAGCAATGGGATTGTGCGTGGAACAATAATGAGAGATACATAGAGCTTTTATTTTTT